GGATCAAGAGCCTTATACAGCAACCTTTCTATGGATGGTGTCTTGATAAAAATTATCCAGCCTTATGTGAACTGGTTAACATGAGTAGATAGGTTTGCCTATCATTTGGCCAGTACTTCTTTCATGTTTATTGAACATGACTAGGGCTTTATCTCTTGTTTCCTGTTTAGGATATTGTTTACCAGTTCCTTTCATCTCTTGTCTTAATGATTTAACTGTTGGATGATCTGACTGATTAACAACTGCAACTTTTCATTGTAAGGGTACCCAGTTGGCAATTTTCTGTTTGCTGCTTCTGACTGGTAATAAGGTTCCCTGAACCAGCTTAGAGAAGCTGCTTTGATCAACCATCACATAATATAGGGTTATTTGTAATGCCATGTCAATAGATGGATAGGTGTCCCTGCATGTATCTCTGGTGGGCAACCCTGAGGCCATATTATGCTTTAGTCTTAGCCACCTTCTGGCCAATTCTTGTTGACATAGATGATAGTGATAATTATTTTGACCATTTTCTTCTTAGAATATATTTTTATGACAAATACAATGAAAAGAAATAGGATCTGTCTATATTTCTGAGATGAGGTATTATGTACATTATTTACATTATTCGGGCTATTGTCCTTATCTTTGTCGCCATATTTATTACAACATTTCGGCCGTTGTATGCTCCAGCCTTCTTCAGATGGATGGAATGTCGAACTGAATCCTTTATTTCGCTCACTGGGATAAACTATTATAGTTCCACGTGCCATGTTTAATGGATGTTAGTTATCAGTTATCTCCTGTTAATTTCCCTCTGAAAGTTCTCCACTGCCTTAACTAGGTATTGAACTCACACTCAAGAACACATGGCACAGTGGATAAAGGCGTTAGTTAGATCCAGTGAGAGGACCCAAAGAGTGTGAGTAGTCCAAATGATGTAAATAATGTAAAAGAAATAGGAGTAAACAAAAAAAATCACCTACCCCCATACCCCCACCTCTGTTTCTTTTTCCACTATTCATGGTATTCATTCCAATTTCTCTTGTGTAGAATCTTTTCTCTTCAATAGACTATCTTCCTCTTTATTGAAAAGATTCTAGGATATCTATGCATGACTTTGGTGTTTATATTTGGTAAAATCTCCTAATTACAAGGGAATTGTCTCTTGAGTCTCCAGATGATTCATTCATGTGTTTTCAACTTTCATTATTGCACACTGTTAGCTTTATCTTTTTTCTTTATTAGACAAAATATGTTACAATATAGAAATGGCTCTATCTCTCTCTACATTCATCTGCGAACATTTTTGTGTTTGGTGATTTTAATGTCAAGTGGCATATGCATTCTAATGTTACTGATGTTGCCAGTATACAAACTTTCAATTTTTTCCATTGCTCAGTCTGTCAGTCAAATAGTGGATTATCCCTACTTGTTTCCCTATAAAATATAATTGGCATTCTTCTTTACTTGATTTGTTCCTTAGCCCCACTCTTAGCTCTTGTTAAGCATCATGACTCTATCCTCTTGGCAATTTGGATCATGCTGTAGTATCATTTGGTATTTGTTTTCAGTCATCTATTAGAAAGGAACCTCTTATTCACAAGACTTCTTTTTGTTACCAGCATACTGATTGGGATTCATTTTGTGACTTTCTTCAAGATACCAATTTGATTGATATTCTTAACCTTCCTATTGAGAATTGTGCCACTTTGGTTTCTTCTAGGATTAAAGCTGGCATCAATGCTTTGGTCCTTATCAGAAATACGAGGTGAAACTAAAATCTTCTTCTTGGTTCATGCCAGCCTGTTCAGCTGCTATAGCCCACAGGGACCACTTTCTCCAAGTGTACCAGCATGATAGTTCTGGTCACGACAGAAGCTTATTTGTGTCTATTCATGATCATTTTAAACTTGTCCTCAGAGACATTAATTCTTTGTTTGCTGATAGATTGGGGCACCATATAGGCTCTAACAAGTTTGGTTAACATGACTACTGGCATCTCTGTAATAGTGTGTTAAATAAGATTAAGTCTTCTATCCCTTCTCTCTTCACTTAATTGGAGGTCTTAGTATTTTCAGAATGCTTTGCTTGTAAATTCTCTTCCAATTTTACTCTTGACTCATCTGGAGTATCTTTGCCTGACTTTCCACTTAGAACTGAGTCTCTATCGAGTGATATGCACCTTTGTCCATGGTTTCTGCTATCACTTCTAAACTAGATTCCCTCAAAGCATGTGGACTTTATGGTATCCCTGCAATATTTCTTAAGAAATGTGCTCCTGAACTGTCTCTTGTTATCTCTAAACTCTATGATAAATGCCTTGCTGTTTTTGCTATCTTGCTTCTTGGAAATTCCTCTTCCGTAGTTCCTGAACTCTGGCAAACTGTCTGGTCCTTCTGTTAGCCTATTAGCCTTCTACCTCATTTTCACTCTAATTGACTCTGTATTGGTTAAACATCTTACCTCACAGAGTCTTTGTTCAGATAAACAATATGGCTGTTGCTTCTCTGAAAGAGCCCACCAAGCTTTAGATAAGAACGGTGAAGCTCAGGCTGATGCTTTGCATATCTCAAAGGCATTTGTCAAGGTTTGGCATACTGGTTCTTCTTCACAAGTTAAAAGGTTATGGTATTTCTGGATGAATTTTTGAACTGATACAGTTTTTCTTATGAAATTGCAGAATGAAAGTGGTCTTGAATGGTCACTCTTCTAGATCTTTTTGCATAAATGCAGGTATCCCCTCCCAGGGCTCTATCCTTAGACCTATGGCTCTATGTTGTTCCTAATTTTTACCAATGAACTTCCTTATGTCATAAGTCCTCAACTCGGTATCTATGCTGATGACACAACTATTTACTAATGTCTTAATAGCCTGATCTGTTTGATAAGGTAAAATTTGCAGCTGATCTAAAAAAAATACCTACAATCTGTTGTTAACTGGAGCAAAGAATGGCTTGTTAATTTTAACACTACAAAATGAGACTGCTCTCTTTTAATCATCTGCGAGAACTCCTATTTTACCATCCATCAGCATGGTTGATGCTAACCTCCACAAGAGTGAGTCATTGTGCATTCTCAAACTAACATTCTCTGCTGACATGAAATGGAAAGATTATATTGAATCAATTGCTAGGAAAGTTGATTCACTGAATTATGCCAGACAATTTTTCTTGCCCAAATCTATCTTAGATTTTTATAAGTTTTCCATTCATCCATGCTTTGAATATTGCTGCCAGATCTATATTTAGAGATTCTTGATAAAATCCAAAAATTAATCTGCAATGTTATTGGTCCTGACTTTGCATCTTAGCTTCAGTCACTTGGGTAAATAGCAAGACAGACTGGATCCTCTAGCCTTGGTTGGCAATCAGTCATAGACAGCTCTGAATTCAAAACCTCCATCTATGGGTTAAATAGCCTCACCAACCTGCAATTGGCCAAGCATACTGAGTACAGCTATAATCCTGAAGACATAATCAATCAGGCAGGGCTCTCTCCAACAGGCGTGAGAAGGCCCTGGATTTGGATATGTAAACATATGTTCTCTACAATTTCCTTTACACAATATTGTTAGGTAGGTTTTTGCTGTTTCCTCTGTCACCCTTGCCTTCAATATGTCCTGTAAGTGTCAAATTCCCCAAGCCCTCTTTCCTCAATACGTGCACCCAGAAATTTCAAATGTCTCTTTCTGATTATAAATACAAGTGTACTTTTTGTTTCCATTTTTCTTAAAACTTTCTCGTTACTCGCATGTTCAGTCCATGGTTATCTTAGTATCCTTCTGTAGAAACATATTTTTGTTGCCTCAAATTTCTTCTTGGGATTTCCCAGCATTCACTGCCATACAGGAGGACCAATATTATATAACAGTTCAGTAACAATGGCTACATACCAGAAGATCTTACTAAATATATTTTCGTAACATTACCTAAGGGACCAGGTGCAAATGAATGTGAACTCTATTGGATGATCAGTTTAATTAGCCACCTAACCAAGCTAATGATGGGAATCCTGATGAATAAAGTGCAAAGTAGAATCAGACTGGAAATAGGGCAAGAACAGTGCAACTTTGTCCAGTGCACTGGAACAAGAAATGTAATATTCATGATTAGAATGATATCAGAGAGAGCAATACAAATGCAGAGGGATGTTTATTTATAGATTGCACAAAAGCGTTTGCTAAGGTGTGGCACGAGGATCTTTTTGAACTGTTAGGAAAACTCGATTTGTTTAGAAAAAATGTTAGAATAATCCAGAACAAACCACTGGCATATGGATATAAAACAAATGAGTAGCTACACAAAAATAGAAAGGGACGTGAGACAAGGATGTTTTCTCTTTAGATTTATTCAGTCTCTGCAGTGACACTATCCTAAGGGAGTTGGTGATCCTACCAGGATTTATTATCAGCACAATCTTAACAACATTAGATAGGATGATGAGTTTTGCTGGCTGATACTAGACAGAACAATAAAGGAAAACAGGACTAATCATCAACTGTAAGGTAAAAAATATGGTGACCAGCAAAAGAAAAACATCCAAGATGCAAGTTACGAATTGGAGATATTAAACATTAAGCAGGTGCAGAAGTTCAAATATTTTGGAAGATGTAAAATGTGACACCGTGATTTGAAGTATGCATTGGACCAGTGAAAGAACCATTCCAAAAACTAAGCAAAATTTTGAGAAACGAAAAATTTCGTTAGAAACAAAGAAGTGCTGGATTGCCATATATTTATCCTCTTGTATGGCAGTGAATGTGGAAATTCTCTCCACGGTTGAAGAAAAAACTAGAGGCAGCAGAAATGCAGAAGGATACTAAGAATTCTATGGATGGAGAGAGCGAGTAAGTAACAAGGAAATCGTAAAGAGAATGGTAACAGAAAGAACACTTGTACTAAGAATTAGGAAGGGGCGGCTGAAATTCCTTGGAACGAGGGTGTAGTTTGTGTTCACTTGTGAGAGAATCAATTTCACTGTCTTTCTCGTCGGTACTTTGATTTTCGCTTTGGCAGCAATAAATCTTCTTTCCTCCCCTTGTTCTCTTCTTTCTTCCTCTCCTTGTTCTCTTCCTTCTCCTTGTTCTCTTCTTTCCTCCTCTCCTTGTTCTCTTCTTTCTTCCTCCCCTTGTTCTCTTCTTTCCTCCTCTCCTTGTTCTCCTCTTCTTGTTCTTTTTCTTCTTGATCTCTCGTGTTTTTATCATTCGTCCACCGCAAAAAAAACCCCAAAAAAACACTCGACTATGCGACGATCGTAGGATCTAAAACAATCCTTCCCTCCTCCTCCATCATCAGTAATGCAATTTTTATATTTTCGACGGTCGGAATTTTGTATGTTACCATCAAAATCTCGTTATATTTGCGAGAATGTAACGCTCCGAAATATTCGCCTTATGAGCGGCCATCTTTTTATCTGGACATCTTTACATTCAATGCAGGTGCGAAGTCTTTGTGCCGACAGTAAGTCATTTTTTTTCTTTCTTTACTTTTTCTTTCAGTTCTCCAACCACAGAGATCTTAGAAAACTTGACCCTCACGGGGCATATTGAGGGTAAGCGAGATAGGGGCAGGGCACCGAAAAACTTACCCGACGAACTTATGTGAACGGAAGGCGGGAACCTTAGCAAAGCGACAAAAACTGCTAAGAGTTATAAGAGAGAGAAAGCTGTGGAGAGCCATGATCGCCTACGTCTTGCAGGGACGCGGCACATAGAAGAACAGAACGCCCTTTTTAGACGCATCAAACGTATTTAAACCATAACAACAATTTCTGTCTATAACAAAAAAAAAAAAAACACAAGAACCACAAACTAGAAAAGTTAAAAAAAATCGTGTTAGATTTAAAAATTATTAAACTGGGGATTTGAAGTGGTGAGAAAGGCCACTAGCTTTCGAGTGTTTGTCGTATAAGGAAATAGGCATTAAGTTGAAACTTCAAAAATTAGTAGTTGGATGGCAAAAGAGAAAAAGCAAATTACATCGTCTTATCACAACGAATTTACTTAGATTATTTACTTTTTTTTAAAAAATTGAATTGCTTGATAAAAATAGTGTACGAAGAAAAGTCGTCTTGAAAAGTTCTTTCTTTCTTACTGTTGTTAAATCTCCGTTAAGTCAGTTTCATTTGATATTGCGTAGCGTCCAGTTTCTCGTTGCCATTATAGTAAGGGGAGAACGAAACTGCATGAAAGGAGATTTATGAGTCACTCCATGCCGTTAAGCTTCCTTTTTATAAGGTCGACTTCTGCAGAAAATGACTCAGATATATGTTTTTATTTAATTTCTTTTTAAAATTTTTCATTGGCTGAAAAAGTAATTTTTTTTGTTTCGTTTTTAATACTGAGTTGATTTCATCCGGAGATGAATTTTCCAGACGGACTTGGTTTTTAATTCTCAATACGTTATAATCAGTCAGAGGGAAAACTTAGAACATTTTTATTTTCCTTCGTTTAAGGGTTCCAATAAATCCTTAAACATAAATATATATCATCTATCAGCAACAAAATGAAATCACCATTTACTAATAAAAACTAAAAACTTATTCTACGATCACAACCAATAACGTAAAAAAGAAAAAAAAATTGCGGTGCCCATAACTGATTTCACAGACACCGAATCTAAAATGGCTGCATTCATTTTTGTGCCGCTGTGGTCACCACTACCCACTATTTCTGTTGTAATTGTGGTTCATGTTGACATTTAAGGCAAAATAGGGTAATGGCTTGCCGGTTCCTTTTGCTCAGGGGTTGTGGAGGTTACCGCGTCCCTCCTCATAAAAGTTCCTCTGTGCATTGGTAAAGCCGTTGACCTATGAGGCGCAGCTCCTACGCCCAAACTGACGTCTGGCCGATGGCAATTTGGTACAGGTGGGTTAGGGATAGGCGTTCCCTTTCACCGGTCGAGTCGAGAAACTCTTCCGACTACCCTCACGCAGTTTAGCCGGCGGGTCGATACCATTGGCCGGGGTGTGGCCGTTGCAGTGCTTATGTGTGAAAGTTGGATGTAAGTCGTAGACTAGTTCACTTCTGCATCCCAATTCACCTGGGTAAAGCAATGTCGATCACTTCGCTGCAAAGGTACTAACACTGACGATACACTCATGACTACAGCAAGAAGAAAGATTTTTCCATAACGTTATCCACGTTGGGAGAAAGGTAAAATCCGATGTAATATGGTGTCATAACAGTAATATCATGACGTCATAATGACATGACGTCACTGGCGAAACACGCGAAAGCCTGTCTAACAAAAGAGAATGGCAGACCAACAACCTGGTAAGAGGACAATTCTTTTCTTCAATGGTATTTCACTCACTTTAAACTAACTTCAGTTGCATTACTTTCTTGGCGCTGCTGTGAACCATTAAAGGATTTTCACCGTTACCACCATATTGTCAACTCACTTCAAAATGATTTCTACGCTATCAGACATTTGTTAGCGCAATGTATTTTGACGATTACGTGAATATCAAAAGGTCCAAGCAAATTAAAAATCTCTAATAGATTTTCTTTGTCAAAATTTTGAAGCTAAAGATATTAAGGGAGATAATCGGAACGCTTCCACAACTCAGTGATTTCCGGGAATAACTTGCATGTTATCGATAGTGAGTTTTCCGTGAGAACATCATAGGCGAATTCTTGTGTCAAACTAAAGTCAGTTTAGTATTACAATAAAGTTATAATGACACTAAGCATATCTGTGATGCTATTTCGCTCATCATTTGCATCGGGTCTTAATTTCGAATATTGTCTCGGATCAGTTGAAGACTCGACGAGAAGATAGGTTTTTACAAATTAATCAAAACTATCGCTTCCATTTGATTCACCATCACAAATCGGTCTGCTACGAAATTTTGTTGACCAGGGATCAGTTTTATTTTTATTGAACTAGAATATTTGGCAACATGCTGACCCATGTTGAAATCCACACAACATTTAATATTGGTGAAGTTATCACTAATATTTTTGTTGACATTTATAAACTGTACATTTTGTTCAATTTTACAAACCAATCGATGAAATTTGAATAAGCTGATTTGTTTGGAAAAATACTTTGACAAAAACCTTAATTCGTGGTTTTTATGCACTCTAGTAAAATCATCTGCACTTTGTACCCGCTGACCTGTTTGCACTTTTCCCCAAAAAATGGGTTGATAGGTCAACGTATGGCCATTTTAGAGGGTGTAACGGACGGACGAAATAACGGAAGTCACAGAATTTTATATATATATATATATATATATATATATATATAATTCTTTCTCTGTGTATATTATCGATAAAATAATCGTCTGGCATCATAAGGTCTTAGAATATGTTCCATTAGAGGAACAATGGGCACCAAAAAGTTAGGGTTGATTTTAGAAGCTTATTGTTGAATATGATTTTTTTTTTTTATTAGTTGATCAAAAGAACTTGTTAATTCGGAAAGTTTTGTGGGGCATGTGTGTCGGAAAATAGTGTATTTTGTTTTTTGTTTTTCCCTTTTGAATGAAGTTAAAAATTACTTGATATACAACAGTGTGTCACTATATCCGTAGCTTTACATTTAAATATTAACTTAGGCACGGTAGAGTAATGGATTGTAGAATCGGAGAGTCAAGTTCGAATTCCAGTCGAGTTCATTACAAACTAATACCTTTCTCAAAGGTATGGATCCGACTTTTCTTCCCAAAGCTATGGGTAAATAGAAGGACGGACTGGGTTCTATTGCCTTCGGTGGTAACCGGTGAAAGAGAAAGAAAATCCTGAATTCGAAACTGTATGTAGCCCTGGCGATGCATATACTATACAGCTAAAGAAAGGATCCTTCGCACTGACTCGATGATCCCGACTACGGTCAATTCCGTTTCATTAACTTAATTTTGATCTGAAAATATCACTGTATAATGTTTAAGCTACTCTTATGTACGAAATATAGGTGCCGGCATTTTTAAATGATTTCTTTCAATCCCCCCCCCCCCCGCTCCAGGTTTTTATTTGGTAAGACACGCTAATTATTTTTCAAATAATTTTCACCATTATTTTCTTTGAGTTTATTAAAATTATATAAAAACAATCCCTGGCGGAACGTTTATTTGAACCAACATGATTATTTTTCCCTAATTCATGACGCTTACCGATGGCAATTGTATTTGGTATAAAAGACTACGTGATTAATATTCAACATTGAATTAAGTGCATTGACAAAGGAGGAGATTATGTTGAAAAATATTTTGGTGCTATTACAATTCAGCATCCTGCCACGAAACGCTATTTGTTTCCTGTTTATTAAAATCTGCATGATGACATTTTAACCGAACGCGTAGAAACTTTATTTTCAACCAAGACAATCATCATCATCATCACCATCACCGATAAATGGTGTTTTTTCGGTTCAATACAAATTCAAGAACCAATAATACTAAACATGATATAAAGACGTGAAGATTTGATGCCAAAAATGGTAAAATTTTGAATCTTTGAATGTTAAACACGGCAATCATCCGTCATTTGTTGGTCTATACGTCTCATTGATTTTGTATTTGCCACATCGCTACCACGCGATGTCAGGATTATAGACACACATTACGAAGTTAAGCAACGTCGAGCCAGGTCAGTACCTAGCTGAGTGACCGCTTGGGAATACTAGGTGCTGTAAGCTTCGAATAGGTGTTATGGATAACAAGTTAGAAGTCGAAGAGACTACTTCCAATTGGCTTCGATATTCACTTATATTCATTTACTATTGAGAAATGTATGAAGCCATTCCTCCCCCAGATATGGGTTAAATAGTAGGATTTGTATCTGGAAATCATTATTATATTATAATGAAGTAAAAAAAATATTTTGTGGCATTAAATAACTAGCCAAACTTTTATAAGCCATAAAAAATAAATCCATCTAATATTACTAAAACAAGATATAAATCCGTGGAGATTTTATGTCAAAAATGGTAAAATTTTGAATGAAACTTTGAATTTTGATTCCACATAAACTCTGCAAATACAAGTTCCGACGCTATTAAATTATTTCCTTCGGATAAAAAATGCCAAAAATGATAGAATTTGGAGTCTTTGAATTTTTTTTTTTTTTTTTTTTAAATAATTTCACACCAAGCAAGTCAGTAAAGCTAATAAGACTGAATGTTTTTTTTTGTTTTTATTTACAATAATATTAATCCTGTACAGGGCCAGAAAGCCACTCAAGGTAGAGGGTTACATAGTAAGAGGCATAGTTTATGGGAATATGCGGGGAAGATGATGGTTAACCCTAGACTT